AACTTCTTAAATGAACCCCCAGTTATTTAGAATTTCCTACCAACCAATGCACGTGAAATTAACACACTCCTGGTCTTCAAGCTGAAAATTCCATATTTGTACTAAAAGTGCCATTCAGAATAAAGCTATTAGTATTCTTCAGCCACCCGACTCCTAAAAGGTGACATTGCTACCTCCCTTTCACGGCTTCATTCTCAACCCACATAGATGTAACTGGTCTAAGATGGTGTGAGTTACAACTTTTTTCACTAAGATGTATTAATATAATGTACTAAAGATTTCGATATGACATAAACATCAGTTAATACATGCAACATAGAAGTCATCATAACAGGACTGGTTATTGTGTCAATACATTTCATGATTTTACAGGGTGAATGTGTAAAGATATATATGGATATGTTCAGATGTCACTCCTTCAGTTGACTCTCTAACCTGAGATCCTTCGTCTCCTTTTTCACAATCTTACCTATAATTTAAGTTTCTGGATCGTAATAAAGAAAGTAAGAGATCGGTGACTAACAAGAACAATCAACAAGGATCTGAAAACGTCACAAGTCCGAAATTCTATGGATGTTAAAAACCTCGCACTCTTCCTTGTTGGCATCCCTTGTGATATTTGTGGAATAATATATATACAACAGTGATAAAAGCCTATCAATGGTCGCATGGCTCCGATCAAATATGGAAGTATAAGAAATAATCAGAATTTGCAGAAGTTACATTTAAAATCTCACTGACTCAAGTGATGGCGATTTTTAGCTCCCCATTGCTTCAATTTTCATTTTATATGGATTGATTTTAAATAATAAGGTTCCTAAATGTGTATGAACTGAAGATTACGTATCATTGATTAATGCCGAATGTTACATCTAATATTTCCACCTTTGAACACTAAGGCTGCACTTTATATACCACTTTGCATTTTGAGTTAATTCGACCGTTCTTGCTTCATTGTACTTTTCCTTAATTCTTGTTTGAATTAACATTTTGTTAATTGCGAACTATTTTTTGGCTCAACAGTGTTTGTGTTTGAATGCTACATAGCCCTCTATTTAAATGGGTTCGAATCCAGGACCTTCCAGTTACAAGGCAAGCTCCCATACACATATATTATTCCTACCAGCACTCTAGTTAGTATAACAGTGGAATCAACTGGGAAATCATAGTTTACTCAGGAGGAAATAATCCACTATCTGCCACAAAGGTAGGCTTTCCGTGAGAAATAGTGTATGAAAAACCCCATGGTGGGTTATATCTCATTGTGACTAGTCTCTTCATACAATCTGCGTTAATCTTAGTAGGGCATTTGGAAAACTAACTCACATCAGATGTTTCATGACACTGTAAGGAGTTAAAATCACACTCATCCCACATACCAACTGAAACTACACTTCACGCTCAGGGTTACTGAAGGAGTAAGACACTTGAAGGTCATTTTCGTCTGTTTGTTAGGGTTCAAAAATGTTGCGTTTCACCTCATTTTTCTTTCCGTTGTTGTTAAAATTAGTTATTTTGTATGCTTCGAAAGTTTTAACCACCAGGTCACTTCATTAATTTCATTGCAACTGTTTCACACGTTGCATTCATGCGTGGTTACGGTGTTTTAGTTGTTTTCCAGCTGTTTATGATACATTACTGCGTAGAAGTTTAGGAAATTATGCATTTGAACATGTTTGGATGGCAGAAGCCGTTGTTTCCAGTTCATTTGTTGCTTGCCGTTATTGTTGCTGGCTCAACTGGTTACTTAATGAGTAGAAATCTGGAAAAACCAATGTCTTTCACGTTCATGTTTGCAGCATGCAACAGTCTATGAGTCAACTTCGTAAAGAGAACACGATCAGACTTGATACTAGCAAGGTTTTCGAAGAACATATTAAAACTGGAGAATTTAAAACCTGGGTTGAAGTTGAAAAAGCATTGAAGCTTTTCAGGAAAATGTGTCTATTATGAATTAAACAGTCAGATATATTGCGAAAGAATCTAAATTAAACACGGATGAAACGCACATGAAGCATGAATATGTGATGTTTGTATGTGCTTTTGGAAGCAAAAGGAAATTGGGAGGCAATCAGAAACCTCTAAAAGGTAGGTGTTACCTATTGTTGTTAATGCCTGATATACCAGATCTAAACACATGAACCAGGACTGTCTATAGCCAATGTTAAGAGCCATGCAATATTTTGCGAAACGGTTTAAAAAGCGGATGACATACGACAACATACGACATAGGAACTATCTTAGTTAAAGGTAGGACTTTAGTTAGCAGGAATAACTTTTCGGGTTGTAGTCTACAATTGGCATTTTTTGAAGTTACAACAAGCTGAGAAGCTGATTATTCTGGGCGAAAACATTGGCTGAATACAAATTGCTTGTTTCACTTCAAATAATCAGTTTCCTACTTTTCAGATGCTTCTTATTTCTCGATGGGTATAACTACGGGGTGTCCATGATTTGAAAAAAGCCCCAAATAAATTTTTCTTGAACAACATGAGGTCATAAAAGATTATTCTACATATTAGTATACAATTTGAATACACTGGTTCTATTAATACTACGTAAAATTCCCCTACAAATAAAAACTATTTGTAGTCCGCAGCTGGTTTTTATACTGACACCGTTTGCATAAATAGACCTCATATGTTTTCCAGTATTAGAGGATTATACGCAAGTTTCAAGACAATATCTGAAACATCCATACTGTTGAGGCGTCATTCTCTCACCAAAACTACTTTCAGATCAACTTCAGATCAACTGTGCGTCGGTGGCACAGTGGTTAGGACTCTCGCCGACCATGCACATGGTCCGGGGTTCGATCCGCTGCCGGCGCACACCCGATATCTATGGTCAGCCTGAATTTGGGCTACCGATATCCATGCTGAAAATTCCACACTTGTACTGAAAATACGGTGTGGAATCAAGCTGTAAATCAAAATAAAATAAAAAATAAAATAAATACGTTTACATTAAAAGAAATATTGGAAATGTCTAACTCAGAAATAAAACCACAATACCGGTAGTGTCTAGTGAACGTGGTTTTGTGAAACCTGCAGAAATTACATTCTCATATTTAGGGAACTATAGCTATCAAATATAAGCTGAACATGCCGCAACTCTAAGCAGCTATGCACAGTGTTAACAACAAAGAGGAACACTTAAAATATTGAAAGATACACAGACTAATTTTGTTGATGAGGATGATTCGACCTTGACATCCAATCGTGATACTACATCTGTACAGCTTTGTGTAAATGGAAATTTCAAGAGAAATTCATCTCCACTATTGGTGATCAAAAATATTGCAGCACTAAGTATACAGTGTCAGTGGAAACGGTATGACAGACAGCATCCCAAGCCAACTATAGTGCTGAATTTAATCCCACTAATTGTGAAATAGTTCTAGCATTCTGTAATAAGTATATTCTGAATCTGCTCTGAAATAATTTCTTTAATGGCACAGACTAGAACTCAGTGCCGGTTTTCATCATGACTGGCACTAAAAAAAATAATTCAGCACACTTTTCTTATTGTAGGCATTTTCAGGGGTTTGCTTATCAGAGTTGTTCCAGCCCTCACAGGACATAATAAACATTATTTCAGAACGTAAAGACTTCAGTCAGTACATAGTGGCAATTTTTTCATCTTAATCTATAGACTGATAATAATGTAGCTAACTAGCTTCAGTACTCATCATGAAAACAATCTATATGTATAATAATACTACACAGTGCGTCGGTGGCACAGCGGTTAGGACTCTCACCGGCCATGCATATGGTCCGAGGTTCGATCCCCCACCGACGCACACCTGATATCTATGGTCGGCCTGCAAAACGTGGGCTACCGATATCACATGCTGAAAATTTCATCCTTGTACCAAAATACTGTGTGAAATCAAGCTATAATGAAATAAAATATAAAAATAATGCACAAGGTGATACAATGAGGAAATTTGAACGAATAATTGCCTTCTCCACTGCACTGCACTTGCAACAATCGTGAGAACCACCTACATCTGTCAGCGTAGCACTCAGGCAAGCAGACGATGGCAGAATATTATTGAGGCTGAGATATTTTTTATACATTGAATCCACATAAGCCATATTACACCGCACCAATCAGTGCAGATATATATTAAATCTACTTAGAAATAACCTATTAACTTACGATAATCAATTTCCAGGCACAGATAAGTTGAAAGACACATATACATGACAACACAGGATCCCACAGAAGGTTCAATTAGCATTTATAAGTGATTTCTATGTACTGATAGCATTCTTTTGTCAAATAGTACAGTTCTTCACACAAAAATAGGCTGCATTAATATCCTGAGACGTGGAGTCTTCATTGAATGATACTATGCCGAAAGGTGCAGCTTCTACATGCAAAAAACTATCTGTGTAGATGACATTACCCTACAACTATTCCATCCTCCTCATGATAACAATATTTTGACACAGTCCGCCTGGAACATTAATCATTTCAATCAATATGCTAGGAGTGTGTCGCAGTCAGATCACATGACGCGGACACCAACATAACTAGTCAGTAAATGAGAACTCTCATCAATCCAGAAAACATATAACACAATTAAAGAAAATTATTGACAATAAATTTTTCTAAGCGAAATTTCTACCAACGTGACGGATAAGTCCAGCCAACATACCTCTATCAAATAGTTTCACGTACCTGGGGAGTACATCCAGTAAGGATGACTCATAGTGGTGTGTAGCGAGGTACTTTTCTAGGAACTTTCACTTGAATGTCAACTTGTCGTCGACAATGGACATACCTCCTCTGTTTCTCTACTTGAAAAAAACAGGAATTTTGTGGCGAGCGTGATGGAGGGTAACAGAATACATACAGTGTGAATAAATCTCGATTATATATGATGAAAAGTTAAGTTTTGTGCAAATAAGAAAGGAATGAAGAGTGGTATTCACACAAATGTCTGATGGAGATATTTCAAACAAACGCAATATTGTACATCGGAGCGCACACTATTTGCATTTTCAAGGACGCTGGTGCAACTTCTGTAATAGTTGGGTTGCCGGCTAACTTTTGAAATGTCACAGAGGGATGTCGTTGAAGGTTAGGTGAAACATCAGGTTCTTTTACCGCTTAGGTCAACCGGACTATACTGAAATGAAAGGGAGGAGCTCTGAATGTCCACCACAAACAGATGGTAGTTGTCGTGTAGTTAGAGTGAATAGCCCTCAGTTAACCAGCTACTGCAAAAATGATATCAGGTGAGATGTGAATATTGCTAAATAATTTTCGTCCAGTACTGCAAAGTACAACTGTTTCACCTTCCTCCCGAAATTCTTAATCGAACAGTTTCGCAGATATGCTAATATATTTTTCCTAGTCATTGCTCTTCTCCAAGTAAGTCGCAATTCTAGTTTAATAATTTTTAGCAAATTCCTGGAGTTTCGCCTACTGGAAGATTCACAACGCTTGTCCCATTGTGTATAATACTAACTGTCTCAGCTATCAAGGAAATGATTGAAGATTTCGTACGTTGTTGCATAATTCGTATAAAATACTGATTGTAGAGAAGGCACCGAGCTGACGACGCCACGAACAATGAAAAAACTCTTGGTAAGTACTTTCATCAGTGGTGCTTTTTCACAGGCTGTCTCACTGCAAGTCATTAAGTATTAGTATCTAAAAAGATTATCAGTATCCAGGTCTTAGGTGTTGCGAATTGCCTGGAATAACTTAAGTACCATCAATACATGTTAATGGTGGGTAAAATCCGAATAATTTTGCTGAAGAATCTGTCGCTTACACAGTGAAACGTTCAGAAAAATCTTGCTTTATTTTTTCTTGAACACGGGTTATTTTAAACAATTTATAATTAATGTCTAAAGACTATAATATGTGGACGTTACACTGGATGATGAAATGCTATGACCACTAATGACAGAGATTTACTTGTCAGACACCTTACATTGTTATTGGGTTTTCCATTGGTTTTTTTATCAAAAGTTTTGTTAATTCTGGAGTATTTTCTTGAGAATCTACTTAACCTTCAACCCTAACAAATTTGGTAAATTTTAAATAGCATAATTCGGTCGAATAGTTCACTTATAGTAATCGTCTTTTAAATATTTTTATCTGGTTGGCTAAGTGTGCTTTCACACAAGTCCGCAAGTGATGTTCCAATTTACAATTTAGAGCAAGATGCATACACCTGATGAAACCAACTGTCGAGATAGTTACTCTCTAACGTCGGGAAACTGAATTATAACTATAACACCACATAGTAATGTACTCAAAGAACATAAATATTCGGACTTATGTACTGTAATGTTGGATTTTATTTGGCATTATAGCATAGGACTTAGTGTAAATATAAGTGTACATAATATCTATATGTATTGTTAAATGTTTTGTCAACTAACAATAAAGTGTCCCCTGTATTTGAAAACGGTCAAATCCCCCATATGCATTTTAAAAGGTTTGTACTGCTTCTTATTTTTTCAGTGTTGCGTGACCAAGTCTGGGTCGAAACATGTTGGAAAGATCTGATGGTTGGGGATCTTGTAAAAGTTTGCAGTAATCAAGGAATCCCTGCCGATCTTGTTCTTTTGGCATCTAGTGAACCCCAAGCTATGTGTTATATTGAGACCAGCAATCTAGACGGGGAAACAAACTTAAAACTACGCCAAGTAAGTTTTATACTGGATTAATATGTATTTCTAGCTCATTTGCCGTTGTTTCCAAACATTTTGTTGGATTTTAATCCCCTCTACTGATTAAAAAAATTGGGTTACTGACTTAATAGTAATTCATTTGTATGGCATTGCAGTGATGAATGGCTTAGTTGTGTGCTGTCGACAAATGTAACTAAGTGATTTCTGTATCTATCTTCCGAACACAAAGTGGTTCATTTATTTAGACAAGAAAGTCAAATGCTGAGACAGCAGTGGGAGGGCTTACGCACTCTTAGTTGTGTGGTATTCCATGTGTGACTGCACAGATACTTTGCCATTATCCCAATTTAATTATTACTAACTTCTCTAAAAGTTTTCGTTGAACACTAAATAAAGGATAGGGCGAGGAATCCTTGATATACTATGCTGGAAATTTAAGAGTTACTGACACTGGTGGAAGCTTTCTTTCTTATTTTGTTGGTTAACCGTTGTGTTTTATTTGACGACCTGTTTTGGCACTGTAACCTGAACTTTGCGCGTAAAATTGGTTGTTTGAACTAACTTGAGTCGTCTATGCTGAAGATTTATTCCCGCGGTATATGTCAGATGGTCTTTTCATGTGTTAACCATAAATATTAAATAAAAACAAATACGTACCAAAAGTAATCGACAACCTGTAAACAGTCATGTGGATATAAGCTTCTGAAGCATTAGTCATTACGATGTAAGATTTTCGTATTTTATTGTATAGTGTCATGTAATTGTAAAGGTAGTTATTTTGAATGAACACATTTTCAACTCTTTTTGTTGTACCCAAGTTTTTCACCGTGTTTTGACTGTATCTTGTTGAAGCATCATATTTGTGAATACCTATCAAAGTCAATGATTTTGTATATATTTGTCTACACATTATAGACAGACAGCTTGTTTGAAAATGTTCAATGGTGATTTTTATTTTTTTATTTTACCTATCCCTAAATATGAGTCTTTGCATTTTTAGGGTTTACCAGCTACAAGTCATCTCTTAACTGCTGGTGAGCTGAGTTCTTTTGAGGCTGTTGTTGAATGTGAATTACCGAATAGGAAGCTAGATGAATTTGTTGGTGTCATTCGAACCGCTGATGGAATGTAGGTCAAAGTGATTTTTCAACTATTTGTTCATATATGTCACATTTATTACATCTTCCCATTACTGCAGCCTACAGTTCCTCTTGTCATGGGCATATTTTTTAGGATTTTAGATAAGCTATATTTCCAAGAGGACTACATTCAAAGGATATATACGAGTCAGTTGTAAAGTTTATATACCTATGGCATTGGCAGTGACGAAACATGCTACACTGTAACTAACGGCCTTTGGTTGGCAGTGCCAGGTATCATCTGTCATTCTGAGAAAAATCTTTTATCCCTTTAGTGTCACAAACGGTTCATTTGAGTTTCAACTAACTCCACTAAATTGACTCAAGTGTTTACAGTTATATGGGTTTTTGAGGTTATTTTTCACCAGCATTATTCACTTACGCAAATGAAGCATTGAATGTTTTGTTCGTTGATATTAACATGTACCATGATATCTTATCCTCTGTCTGTGGTACTTCAGTGGCTAAAATTTAATGACTTGAAGGCATAGGTAAATGATTTATGATCTATCGAATTGGTCCAAACAAATTCCCTTATATATCTTACTCTTTCTTTCGAAAGCATCATTATTTCACACCAATTTGCCCTTTATGCACGATATTCGAATCTAATTATGTATTTGTTTGCTTTCATCAGTTTCTAGTATTTGTGTAGAGCGAAGTTAAACTCACAACCAGAGTTATGGTATACCAGAAGTTGGCTTTCAAAAGCCAATCAGGTTTAGTGGACTCTGTAAAGTTCATTCCAAGTTAAATTGTTCAGAGTAGGTGCAATATTCTACTTTTTTCCCAAAAATCTATACTGTTAGATAAGGTTTAGGGGTAGGTAAAACAACAATTTCAGGATTATCAATGAATCCCGAAGTGCTGTGATCTACAGTCACCTGGACGGATACATCTATCGCTCATGACATGATTTCCTCATGGATTATCCTTGAATTAACTGGGAGACGTTCTTAGAACACAACGGAGACAACTATCCAGTGTAAAATCATGTTTGCCACGTTTTTAAATACATTTTTAAACGATTTCGCGACTTGTTTTGCATCCAAGTTATTATTGGTTGTTCAAGATAACTGTGGTTTTGGCTGTTGGTCTAACTTAACTTTGTGTAGTTAATCGTGAAAGTCACCTGGCAATGTATGAGTTTGTTAAATCTGCCTTAAATGAACTGTTATATTTTAGGATATATTGATAAAGCTTATAGGCGAAGTTTTTGATGGTGGCAACAAAATTCTTTCTTCACATATGGTAGTAATAATGGGAAATAGGTATACTTTTCTAAATTGCTATATTTCTCCACCGCGCATTCTAGGACTAATCCCACTTTTTGAACAGTGCTTTCTGAAACTTGATTTTTTTTCATTGTATAAATTTTGTTTATTATATAATCTATTTATTATATAATCTAGCATGATTTTAATTGTGGATGTAGTGTATATACTCAAAAAAAAAAATTAGAATCATTTTAACCACTATAAAGTCATATTGTTTCATCAATCGTCACACTAGCATCGCTCACTGCCTGGTGTGTTAACATATATCGCGTTAGAGTTACAGTTATATAAATTGATACCGGTAAAGCAAGAGCAAATGACGTCTATAGAGTTTAAAAACAGGTAGTCTGATTGACCGATATAAGGCGAGATATTATCAATGGGCAATAATAATGTTTGAAGTTTTAAAAAGTTAACTGAGAATAAATATACGTTACTTTAGCTGTTTTACATTTATTGGTCCCTTCAGTGCTAAATGTTTAGAGGCAGATGTTAGGTAAATCAAACCTCAAGATGATAGTCGTGTATAATGTAGTAAATTGGGTGATACATGGCCTACCGTACTGCATAATGTCTACAAGTGATTTACTTAATTTTCAGAGTAGGAAGGTTGGATTTCATCGTTTTATAACCCTAAACGCATATAATCTGCACTACTCCAATAACTCAAGTCAACAGTCACAAGCTTCGTAAATGCATGTTCCGTCTTGATCTGAAAGTTTGTGTAGCGTGTTATCTCATCCTTTCTTAAGACTGCGTCTAAATTATGTAATGTTTTACAGCAGAGTGACTGAACTGTTTTAGTCAACGAGATGTGACCTGTCTAAAAAGGCTAAAACTGTAGTGAAAATTGAAGGGCAGCTAAATATTAGTAAGTAAAAATTGTCATGGATGACATGTATAATAAAATTTTGTCTCCTTATAAAACTAGATGCGTGAAGAGAGCTTAGACTCTTAAATGTTATAGAGAGTTTTGATTTCATTGCAAATTGGTTGTTGTAAAACTTATGATAACTTTTATATTATTGGACTTTCCATCAAGTGACTGTAGGCATTTGTTTACTCAGATTCAACTGGTTTCTAGTGTTTTGTTTTAGGCGTGACTGAAGGTAATATCTGTTCTCATATGACAACTTTTGAAGACACTGCATTCTTCAGAAAAAAAATACGATTGTCCGTTTTCATTACAATCACACAAGTGTGCCTGTTCCAGGAATATTGAATGTGTTTTGTCAAGTTTGCAAAATTAATGTTAGTCTTAAAGTCTCCGCTGATTTCTATTCTGAGCAATACGTGATCATTTTTTGCATGATCTTCGTGAACTCGCTAAGAGAGTCGAAATTCCCCAAGAGGTAGTAACGCAACACAAACTGCCTCTCATCTCACGACATTACGTCCTAGTCTTACTCCTTCAACTCTTAGTTCATGTAGTCAACGGTATGAAAGTCTGTAAGATCACATCCTTAGTACTTGTATTAGACACCCAAGATGGTATTGCCTGCTGAAAGACGACCTCCATTATATCCGAACACACTGTTGGATTCCATGATTACTTGTACAGCGATACCACTGAATACAAATTATATAAAGATAGAGATGACTGAATGCGCAGAATCGATGCACTTAGTTATCTAGAAAAGGCCAAGTGTATTGGGTACAAAGCAAGACTAAAAACAACAGAACATTGTAGACATGAACTTTGGTGACCTTAGTTTGCGTATGTCACCCTGGACGCTTCTGTATGGTCAGAAATTCTTTCCATCACACTGTCAGCACTTACACAACAGAGTGAATTAGTTTACAACACATAACTGTACACAAAAGTGTATCATTTTTAGTTCTCGCACATATACTTAAAACAAATAACTAAGTCTCTATCTGGGAAGAGATCAACACAGATGAAGAAACCAATAAAAGATGGTCAAGGGAACCTAATTACCAAAGAGAAGGAACAAAGAAAACAATGGGCTGATCACTTCCAAGTACTCCTTAACCGAGCATCACCTGCAGCCCACCCAGAAATGCGACAAACAGCAGCCACAGAACTGCGAGTGGACAGCAATCCTCCAACAAAATCAGAAATCTCGAATGTAATTGAGCTACTAAAGGCCAGCTGAGAATGCTGCAGGATGAAATTCCAGCTGAAGCACTGAAAACTGATCTAGCGACTGCAGTTGATATTGCTCACGCCGCTACTGCCAGAAGTTTGGAAGGAAAGGTACCTATTCATTGGCAGAAAGGCTACCCTGTCAAACTACCAAAGAAAGGCGACTTAGGCCTTTGCCAGAACTGGCACGGAATCGTGCTTTTATCCACGCCGGGTAAAATACCAAGTCGCGTCGTCCTGGAGAGAATAAAAGATGCACTGGATACAGAACCCCGCCCCACCGCCCAGAACAAGCTGGATTCAGGAAAGGTAAGTCATGTGGTGGACAAATCGCAACTCTTACGCATCATCGAACAAAGCATGTAATGGCACTCAAATCTGCAACCCAACTTCATCGACTTTGAAGAGGTTTTCGACAGTGTTGACCGTGGAGTAAGTCGGAAACTACTTCAACACTATGGCGTGCACTGCCCCAAATCTTTATCAACCTCATTCAACAGCTGGCTATATGACAATGCCACGTGTCAAGTGATCCACAACGGAAAACTCACCTAAACCTTTGAAGTAAGGACGGGATTAAGACAACTGTCTACTATTGCCGATGCTATTATTAATTGTGGTGGACTGAATCATGAGTCAGACTGTAGGTAGCAAGAAGACAGGAACATGTTGGACCGATAAGAAGATTCTGAAAGATCTGGATTTCGCGGACGATTTATTTTTAATGTCATATAAATTCGAAGACTGTAGACTGCTGTCAACGGCTTTCCTTGCTCCATACTGAAGATCAGATGACCAGAAACAATTAGAAACAAGACATCCTTGGAACAAACTTATCAAGAATCTTTTGCTTAGCAAATATGCAGGTGGAAATGGAGATGGATCAGGCACACGCTGAGGAGACCGTCTGGTGACATTGTGCACTAGGTCCTTGAGTGGAACCCGATTGGGAAGCGACAAGTAGGACGTCCGAGGGTGACATGGAGGAGATCGTGTGAGTAGGAGGATATGAGAGACTATGGGCAGTCGTGGGGCCAGGTGAAGACGGCTGCAGAGAACAGGACAAAATGGAGATGTGCCTTTGAAGCCCTATGCTCCACTTGGAACCCAAGGGAATAATAATAATAAATGATAAACATCCTTTTTCGCGTAGTGGGATAGCACGCCTTTATGTAAGATAACACGAACAGCCACAGGCGTCTTTTGTGTTTGTATACAAGAACAACAAAGTTCAGCGAAGAGTCTCTTTTCGGCGAATTCATTCACTTAGCTGTACAATCGCATTTGTATATAATTACTTTGTATGTGTGTACATTAGGATTGTCAAACACAGATAAAATAAAAATTAGTTAGGGTTACTGTTTACATCATCAAAATGTTTCTAAAATGTGATGAATAATCAAAATTGTAACTAGGGGGGATGAAGATTGGTAAGTATTGACAAGGGTTGCGTAATATGAAATAGTGTTAATGAAGACAAGTGTCCAATAAATTAATTACGTAATAGGTAGAAAGAGTAAATAAAGGGTTTGTTAAGATCTTTTTAAGATGCCAAACAAAAATTCAAAAAAAGGGAACAAAACATTATTAACAAAGTCGTAGGAC